TGTTGTATAGCTGCTGTGTCAGTCAGACAAATAGATACCAGAGAGCCAATGAAAATTTACACCCGACGTATATGGGAACCCCAATCACAGGGGCCTGCTGAGCCTCCGCACGAGGACAGCTTGGCGTATAAAAACCTTGGGTTAGTTTGTGAGCGCTTCAGGGAGGAAAGACGAGTTAGTCAGCCCAATCTTGGACCAGTGAACGATGAGCAACCACTGCAAAACCAAGGCAGAGAGAAAATGTAAAACGTCAATGTAGATTCTCTTGCACAAATGATCTCACAAACAGGTGTGACGTATGGGGGACGGACGTACCATGAATGTGGTGAAGTCCTGCTGCGACGACAACAATCGCTGCACACCATGAGGAGAAGGCGAGAGCGCCTACCACGGCGACGCATTTCGTCACAACAAAGCCAGGAACGAACCCACCTAGCAACACTGCACCGACGTCCCACATGTGGCCGGAATCAAAACGTCTGCGACTCCTATACGGGCCTTCCATACCTTCCATCCTAGTTGCGCGTCAGCCTTGCTTTCTCTCACAGAAGAAATGTTTCTGATTGAGAATGAGATCATGAGTGACGATGGAATTCGATAATACTTGACGAGTAGCAAAAAGTCCCACTGTTGGAAATAAATGGAGAACGAGCTGGAACGTCTATCATTTCGCCGCAGCATACGGAAGTCAGTAAGGCACGCTGCAAGCGTCCAATCATCGCGACTGCTGCATTGACGCATCCTGAATTCGACCGAAGTTGGAGTTGCAGCGCCGAGCCGTGCGCTGGAGCAGGAAACGGGGTTCAAACTTGGATGTATTGAACAGCCCTCAAATTGCGGCGTGCTTTCGGCAATTTGAGGTCTCAGGGAGCGATGTTCCAGGTGTGGGTAGGACCACACCGGACACGTCAGCCCAGCCGAGTGGGCGTCTCCTTTCAAGTGCCTTTGGGCTTTCGGGGAAGCCAGCTGCTGTTTTTGGCGAGAGTTCCACCGCGGAACTTCCGCTCTGTAGCCGTCAGGTTGGTCATCTGTCAGCTGAACCTGCGCGCGAGGAAAGCCATGGGCACCCAGATTCTGCAAAGACCGGGGGCGCTGTTGGTGCTTCATTGATTGGCGGACGGTAGAGTGCTCCAGAGATTGTGGACCCGCTGTTGCAAACTCTGATTTCCTCTGAATGTAACTTGATTCGAATTGGGGTTGGGGATGGGTTGGATACGAGTTGTTAAAAATGCAAGGTGGTTTAGACGAGAATACACAGCTACAACGCTTCATAAATTGCACGTAGAGCGGCAACTACATCTTCACAAACTTCACAGGTTGACTGCAGCCAAGGATAACCTGCTTCTGCACTCCGCTAACTTGTCCCATTCCATAACGCTTATCAATTGAACACATGAAAGCTTTGCCAGTACACGAATAGAACGGTCAGCGAGTGAGTCAAACATGAGGCCATCGTAATTTCCCCGATAAAGGACCCACCAATAAGAGCGTATTCCTACGGAGTGGTGTTTAGTACCAGCATAGGAAAATGGGTTTCTGAACACCGTGATTGACAAATCTTACCGAGTCCAATACCAGGAACACTGTTGCATTTCCTTCCTATTACCGCGCAGGTGCAAACGCGACGACGGGCACCCATGCGATCCACCGCAGGATCTTACCCCGGTTACGCATGCTGGCACAACCATGCTATGCGCCACTCTAAGCGAGTGCCACGAAAATGGCATGCAACGCATAAAGGGCTTGTTCACGAGGTGGATGATTGCCTATCGCGAAGGCTTGGATGACGCCCCGCGCCAGCCACGAGCCCGGCTCCCACTCGAAGTCCGCCATGACACCCCTAGTCCATCATGGGTCGAGCATAGCAAGGTAGGGATTCCACTTCATGTTGAATGCCCGCATCCTAAGCTCGCTCATGCCCAACACCATATTGTACAGGACCACGACGCATTAAGTTCCAGCAAGGACCCTCTAGAGGCGACAGTCATTTCGCCCCGCGAAGAGTCGCCATCTCCCCTTGAAGAGCCCAATAGCCCTTTCTATTGCCATGCGGGTTGCAGACAGTGCGTAGTTAAACATCTGTTGCCACTCCTAGAAAAGCCACCCCTGTGTAGCATGAAGTAGGGTGAGGCAAAAATCCTTCAAGGGATACGCAACATCACCCAGTAGTTGGTATGGTGCTATTTCTCCGCTTGCTAGCCTCTCGTATAGTTTTGAAGTTTTGAAGCCCCTGTTCTCGTGGGCGCTTTGTGGGAAGCCAGTTAAATAATCACAAATCACACCACGGGCATTGCAGGTCAATTGTAGCTGTACAACATACTCCGACTTACGCCAGAAATAGTCTGCACGATGAGCATCAATACCCCTAATTTGAATATGTGTGCCATCCACTGCCCCAATAACCATGAATATGCGTGCCATCCACTGCCCCAATAACCAAGGGTATACCCTTGATGCTTTGGAATTCGGCGGCCATTCATGCCATGTCCGCGCGGAATGGGAACCACACCGACTCACGCCTAAACACCCGAGGGGAGTTCATTAAAAACAGATTAACGAGCATGTGGCACAACGTCTTCGTTACACCCACCAACATAGAGATGTCGGCAAATGTCATGCCAAACGCAAAATACTTCACCGGGATTAGGACCGCGACTGGTTCGGAAATCATGGAACGCATCACCACCGGGTATAGTATGTGATGCAAGCCCGCCACAATATGGTATAGAATAGTTTTTTTAATCCTAAACGCGTCTCGGAATTCATCCTCTGTCATGTTGTCCACTTCCTCGACGAACAGATCAAGTCCCCGCCATCGCAATCCACCTTTGCAACGGCGTATCTTTCCTCTGGGCGACGGAGGGGTGGTGGTTTCGTCAAGCCTCGTCATACAGTCGACGTACATGATGCACGCTCGCACGTCGTTCTCGAACCAGATATTGTAGAACCGGCTGTAAAACACATCGAACAGCTGCGCCATCAAGACTGCAGGGTCGGCTGGATCTATGGGAAACATTGGCGTAATTTGGGGTAGCAAGAAATGTGTCTGTGGTGATTGCGACAGAATTGGGCACCTGTTTGGATGCACCCTGGTTTTGTGCTCGCACTCACATGTCTCCCTGGGTGCGTTGCATTTGAAGGTTGAAGGGTGGCAAACGAGCAGCTACTGGTGGTAGTACCGTCCACCTGGTATGGGCTTCTGACGCCGCGCATGTGTTTGGGATGTAAATTTGGCTTTCTGGGCAGCGATGTGCACTTTTCATTTGGCCAGGCAACATTGCTCACCGTGGCCAATTGTTTCGCACGTTTGGTCGCCGAGCCCACGCTTGCGAAGCACCTTTACTGGTACTATACACTGTCCTGTAAATCGGCAAATACATCACGGTGTTCAGGAACATGATTCCCTATGCTGGTTCTAGACACCATAGCGTAGGAATACATGTGAGTCAGCCTCAGATGACTCGATCAAAGTAGCATTTGGGTATTGAAGAGGGTATCCATGTAAACACGAAAAGGATGGCAGCGTCAAAGAGACTGCAAAAGCGGGGCATCAGCAGAGGAAGCGATGGACATTCGATGATCACGAGGTGTTACGTGGCACGCGTCTAGGAGTGGTAGCACACTGTTGCCGAATACATGATAGGTTCTTGAGGGAAACATAAGCGCGCAATTCTCGGAGCACTAGGATGACAGAATCGGAGATCACGAGGAACACCACCACAAGAGGTATATCAATCCGTTGGGAACTGGGTCGTAATATTTCACCATATACATAAGGTGCAACCATAAGGAGGACCACCCACCGACATAAAAACATACTGCACATGAATTTGGTCTAGCAACATATCCTAAACCTTTGCGAAACACACCCTAAGGAACATTCTTCCAAGTATAAGAAAATGCTCGTCATTTCACCGTTGAAGAGATCTTGGCCCACAATAGTGCAAAACTCTAGTAATCGAAACAACGCCCACTCCTAGACGACATTTTTACATTTCATGGCTATCCAGGTGATGAGCCGACACCCAACGAGGGCCCTTTGTAATCTTTGGGTGAGTACTTGTTTTCCTCAAACCGTTCTCATTTATTTGTAGCCCATGGCGGCCCCATTTGTAGGTCCCCTTCACCACCACGTACCACATTCCTTCCAACACCTTTAGCCCCATCTCCACCACTTTCCCTACACCTTATGGCGGCCTTGTTGCTTAAAGCCCCACTTCGTTTCCAGCTGTCGATTTCGTCTTCCAGTTGCTGAACCGTCAATTCCGAACTACTAGACGATCTAACGGTTGTACTTCCTTGTTCTTCCGTGAAGCTGCACTTTCTCATATTTTACTGAGAGTTTTACAATCGGTCCCCCACGTAGGCGTTTCCGAGCCTGTCCCTTCAATTTGCCAGCGTAACTGTGTACCAAGCATTTTACTCTTGGTCAAAACTGTTAGGATTAAGGACGGAGTCTAGGTGAACTTAGGAGCTAGAATTACTCAAAATATAAATCCGAAATTCTGGACAGAAAAGTCGTCTTCACAAGAAACGACGTCGACGAACAACTAGCCGTTGGAATGTCGCGAAACTCGGATATGTTGTAGCTCTTAATCTTAGCTACCGTTCCCAATTTGAATCATGTTGATTGATGAAGTATTCGCGACGCTATGGCTTTTGACGCACTAGGGGGTAAGATGTAGGAGGAGAACTTAACTCAATCTCAAAAGGTTCAATCAAAGTTCAAGAATCTCACAAGGAATTAGAAGGAGCAAGAGAAAGGTTGGGATAGAAAGAGAGGGATGAGAGGGAAGGTCCCAAGAGAGTCCCCAACCAAGGAAACCCCATAAGCACAAAGATTCCCTCCCTATAGGAACCTCAACTTTGACCTTTGTCCCTTCCCAACCAATCCATCCAAGTTGGCCACCCTTGCCAACCTAGCTTGGTTGTTCCCAACCAATTTGCAGCTGTTACAGTAGAGTGACAAATTTCCCCAACCCCAAAGGTCCCAACTCCATATAGAGTCACCCCACAACTTCACTTTGTAACCGCCGCAATTGTAACGCAAGCTCATGAACTTTGAATCTTCATAGCTTTCGCGTTCTTGCTCCGAGTGAAGCGATTCTTGTTGCGTCGGAAACATCTTCTCAAGATCTATCATCACAAATACCTGCTCAAACAAAAATAACGCAAAAACACATTCCCAAACTCCAGAACACACCACACAAATTCTTTCACACGTTCAAACCACACATGCGAATTGAAACAAGAGATGGGAGGCAGACAGAATGTGATAGCATATGATGACATCACACAACAATCTCCCCCTCTGGCTGCCAACCATCAACCACCATACCAACATCTCAAGCATGCATACTCAATGCACACTCATCCCAGCAAGCTTCATGCCCTTCCAATGATCCGCCTCCGCCAGACGCTTGGTGAAAATATCTGCTGCCTGCTGATGGGTCTTCACTATCTCCAGCCGCACCTCCTTATCAAGGAGTCTCCTCACCCAGTGCCACTTAGGCCTTATGTGTTTTGTCAGCCCATGCAGACAAGCATTCTTGGCGAGCTTCACAGCAGACTCATTGTCACAGAACACAACTGTCGGCTCCTCCTGACCAACTCCCAACTCCTCTAACAAGCGCCTCAGCCACACCACTTCCTTGGCCCCATGGTGTAAGGCCATGTACTCAGTCTCACATGAGGACAATCCCACCTCATTTTGCTTCTTGCTGCGCCAGCTCACAGCACCACCTCCTAGCAAGCACACATAACCCCCAATGCTGGTGCCATCCGCTTTTACTGAGTTGAAGCTAGCGTCAGTACCTTAGGCTGAGGAATTGCAGCCCAATAGCACAATGCAATCTCATCTTCCTCAATCTGCTCAAACACACTCCCAGCCTGCACCACATTCGGCTTGCCTCTTTCCCCATAGGTCAGCCTCACTGGAGGGCGCACATCCCTCCTAGGACGCTCAGGCGGGTGTGGAACTCGAGGTGGAGACTCATGCTGCTGCTGCTGCTGCTGCTCTACTTCAGCTGCTCCCCCTTCCTCAGTCACCCCAGACATCTCCTCCTCTGACACTGCAACCTCCACCTGTCTTGAAGGCTGCTGCACCTCATCTGCCTCCACAATGAGCGGTGTAGATGGAAGCTTCTGTTGCTGCTGCTTCCATTCCTTGTAGTACAGGGACTCAAGAAACTTCACATCCCTTGACACTGTCAACTTCTGGGTGGTCAAGTCCCATAGCAGCCACCCCTTGTGATCCTTTGCAATCCCCAAGTGCACACCCCATCTTCCAGAAGCCTCCAACTTCCCCCTTTTCTCCTTAGGCACATGAAACACCACCATGCACCCAAATGCCCTCAGCATGTTCACAGCTGGAGCACTCCCATACCACTTGACATATGGGATCCACTCCTTCTCCCCAACTGTTGCCAGCACCCTATTCTTCACAAGGGCGACCTGCCTCAGTGCAGACACCCAAAACGGATCAGGCAGCCCTGCACGCCCAAGGAGAGTGCGTGCCCCCTCCTGCAGGGTCCTGTTGAACCTCTCAGCCACGCCATTCTGCTGCGGGTTGTAGGGCACTGTCAGTTGATGTTGGATCCCCTTCCTCTTCAACTCCCCCTCAAAATCAGCTCCAATGAACTCCCCACCATTGTCACTGCGGATGTCACAGGATCGAATGTGTCGAGGAAAGGTTGCACTATCGATCGGTACAAGGCGCTTTTATACTTCCAGAATACATCAGGTAACCAGGTTTATCTTATCCTAAGGGAATAGACCCTTCTAGAAGATAGAATCACCCTGCGTATAGCCACGCGAGGCTATTGGCTTTAAGAGATTACGGCAGGATTACGCTAGATAGCGTGTCTAGAACATTCCATGCCTGGTCGGTGATATAATTATAATAGGGGAAGAAACCAAAGGATAATGGAAAATGGGGAATATGAGGCAAAAGGAGATGAGATAAAAAGAGGAATGAAATGAAGATGAAATATGGAAAAGGCCAAGTGGTGTAACGGTGTCGTACTCTCACACTTCCCCCCCTCAAAGCTGGGTGGTAGAAGTAACACCCTGCTTGACAAGGTAGTCATGCAGAGGACGACGGGCGTTACCCATGTCGGTCTCAGAGACCCAGCTGTCCTCAGAAGGATCATAACCCTTCCAACGGATGAGAAGCTCCACGGTGCCATTCCGACGACGGCGGTGTGCGAGCACGGACTCGACCTCGTACTCGGGTTCGTTCTGGACGAGGACGGGCGGCGGCGGCGACGGCTGGCGTCCGACGAAAATTGTGTTCGGGTCCCGATAGGGCTTCAGAAGTTGGACGTGGAAGGCGTTGTGAATCTTCCAGGTAGCTGGCAGGCGTAAGCGGAAGGTAACAGGAGTGACCTGGGCTTCAACGAGGAAAGGCCCGCAGAAGCGAGGTCGAAGTTTAGATGGGAGATGGCTGATGTCCAGGTTACGGGTGTCGAGAAGCACCCGGTCCCCCACCGTAATAGTGTGGTCGTTGCGATGGCGATCGGCCTGGCGCTTCTGTTGCTGTTGAATGTCAAGGAGGCGCTTATGGGTCCGATCCCAAAGCTGATGCATGGTTGTGATGAAGTCGTGTGCAGGTTGGACTGTTGCTGGTGTTGGCGGTTTCAGTGGTGTGAGTGGGTGGCGTCCGTAGCAGAGGAAGAACGGCGTCTGTCCCGTAGCGGCGTGTGTAGCGTTGTTGTAGGCAAACTCCAGGACGGGTAGGTGCAAGTCCCATTTGGAGATGTCGTCCTTGCAGGCTGCTCGGAGGAGTTGCTCAACAATTTGGTTGAGGCGCTCGGTCTGTCCGTCTGTCTGCGGATGGTATGCGGATGACATGGCGAGTTTGGTGCCGAGCAGAGACATAAGTTCCTTCCAGAACTTGCTAGTGAACTTGGGGTCTCGGTCGGAGATGAGTGTAGTTGGGATGCCATGCTGTGAGATGATGTGACGAACGAAGAGTTGTGCTGTCTCCTCGGTGCGTGCCGTCGTGTGTGTCGGGATGAAGTGTCCCATTTTGGAGAACTTGTCAATGACGACAAGGATGGCGTCATGACCGCTGGAGGTAGGTGGTAACCCGGTGATGAAATCTAGGCTAACCACTTGCCATGGTTGTTCTGGGACAGGAAGAGGCTGCAGTAGTCCCGCCTTTTTCTGCTTGCTGCTCTTCATCCGCTGACATGTATCACATGAGGTGACGAATTTCTGGACGTCGTCTGCCATATGGGGCCAGTAGTAGTGTTTGGCGATACCGGTGAGCGTCTTGTTGCTACCGAAGTGTCCGGCGTAGAGGACGTCGTGATATTCTTCGAGTAGTAACTGGCGCAAAGGAGGGTAATTGGGTACCCAGATTTTTGTGGATCCCTTCCGGTATGCGATGTCATTGTCCCACTGTAGCAGATGTCGCCTTTCTGCCAAGGGAATTTCGGGGTCGATGGCGTACCCGTGGGTGAAGAGTCCCTTGAGTAGTGGATTCATCCCTTCGATCTGAATCGCGGCAACGTGTGCAGGCCGGCTGAGAGCGTCTGCTTTGTTCTTGTGGCCGGGCTTGTACACGATGTCGTAGTGGAAGTGTGTCTCGAGGAAGTCGATCCACCGGACCTGCCGCCTGGAAAGGTTGGGTTGTGTCTTCAAATATTTCAGGCTGCAGTGGTCGGTGTAGACGGTCGTTCTTCGTCCTTCGAGATAGCATCTCCACGCTTTGAAGGCGATGACGATAGCAAGAGCCTCTTTGTCGTGTATCGGGTAGTTGAGTTCTGCCCCGTGCAGTTTCTTGCTGAGGTAGGCAATTGGTTGCAGTCCATTCCCCTGGTCTTGCATTAAGACTGCACCCACGGCCTGGTCACTGGCGTCTGCTTCAATGACGTAGTCACGTTCGGGATCTGGCAAGATGAGTACCGGTGCGGATGTCAGTGCTTGTTTCAACTGCTCCACGGCTTCCTGGTGCTTCGTCTCCCATTTGTAGGGCGTGTTCTTCTTCAACAGATTCGTGAGTGGTGCTGCGAGTTTCGCATACTGTGGCACGAACCTGTTATAGTAATTAGCGAAGCATAGGAACTGCTGCAACTCCTTCACGTTCTCGGGTGTCTTCCACGTACGTACGGCTTCGATCTTCTTGGGGTCGACGTGAACTCCTTGAGCGCTCACCAAGTGGCCTAGAAATTGGACTTTCTCCAGGGCGAATTCGCTCTTGGACAGTTTGACGTAGAATCGTTCTCGTCGAAGAATTTCGAAGATGCGTCGCAGGTGTTCGACGTGCTGCTTCATGTCGCGTGAGTAGATGAGTATGTCGTCCAGGTACACCACCACGCATTCGTCCAGAAGTGGTCGTAGAATGTGGTTCATTTCGGCTTGGAACGTTGCCGGCGCGTTGGTGAGTCCGAACGGCATGACCAAATACTCATACGATCCGTACCGAGTTCGGAAAGCAGTTTTGTGGATAGAGTTGTCCGCCATCCGTATCTGCCAGTATCCGGACCGCAGATCCAGTTTGGAGAATACCGTAGCTCCCCGAAGCTGGTCAAGCAGGTCATCGATTCGCGGTATCGGATATTTGTTCTTGATGGTCTGCTTGTTAAGAGCTCGGTAGTCGATGCACATGCGCAGGCTTCCGTCCGGTTTCGGTGTGAAGAGTACTGGGGCACCGTATGGCGAAGTAGATGGTCGGATGAGTCCTTTGGCTAGGAGATACTCGATCTGCTTCTTCATGTCGGTCAGCTCCGTAGGGCTGAGCCGGTATGGTGCTCGGAAGGTCGGCTTCGAACCTGGTTCCTCCACGATCTCGTGTTGATGCGTTCGGTATGGCGGTAGCTCGTCCGGAAGATCGTCAGGAAGAATGTCTTGGAACTCCTTCAGTAATTCCTTGATTTTTTCTGGAGTTTCCGAGGCTTTCTCTCCGTTATTCTTCACCTCTGTTGCTATCGCCAGGAACCCGGTGTCGGTCCGCTTCACGTCCTTCTCGAATCGTGCGAGTGTCTCCACTGGGATATCTCCAGTGTCGTCCCAGTTGGGTAGCTGTACTCTCCGTCCATTGTTGTAGATGCTTGCGGTGCGGTTTACCCAGTTGATCTCGGGGTTGAATCTTTTCAGGAAGTCTCGCCCGAAGATCAAGTCAAGCCCTTTGATGTTGGTGATGGGGAGTGCAGGTCTCCAGCGCAGTGGTCCAATTTGTAGATGTAGCACTGCTTCGCCGTGTACTGGTAACTTGCTGCCGTCCACCATCGTTGCAGAGAATCCTGAAGGCTTGTACTCTTCCCGGAGTCGGTCGACCATTGCCTTGTCGCAGACGGTGTGTGACGCTCTGCTGTCCACGAGTGCTTGGAGGCGTCGTCCTTTGCAGATGACCTCGAGCACGAGGGGCAGTCGTTGCTCGGAGTACCCAAAGATAGTTTCATTGATTGGGTCATAGGGTACATCCCAATATTCCGTACACACCTTGGTGTTGCTGTCTACTCCTGAGCTGGCAGCTGGCCGAGGCTGCTTGGAGAACGGCTCTTCTCCAGGGCCCGGAGTTTCCTTGACGACTGTGCGCGTCATTGATGCCGAAGAACTGGATGCATCCGTAGAAGGAGTTCGGGGTTTGTGCAGCTTCTTGTAGACCCCCAGCTTCCTCTTGAGCTGCTTCAGCTCCACCGACGTCTTCCCTGGGGAGCGGGTAGTCGTTGTGGGCTGGTGTCGGGAGAGGACGTTGACTCCGTGGAAAGGTCGGCTTCTTTCCACACTCCTTAATTTGGTCCCCAAGTTGTCCGGTACCGGTATAATCTCCACAGCTGTCTGCTTTTTTTGGAGTCCCTCCCGAATTTTCTCCAAGGCTCTAGCCCCTCGAACATCATAAGTTTTCATTAAAGCATCTTTATAAGATAACTTTAATGAATTCTTATAATTTCTTGGGTCTTCAAGGAGTTTCCCTGTCTCGGCAGAGTCTTTTTTCGCGGAGTCGTATTTTTCCTCGGCGATTTTCCCTGGCGAAGACTGGTCGTGGGGTGGAGATTTTCCCCCATCATTTCCTCCTTCTCGCGTCGAATCAGCTTCGTCGAAGTTGATTTTTCCGGAATCCCGCGGCCGCTTTCGGATCTTTTTATTTTCGCCAGCTAGATCCGCAATCACTGGCGACTCCCGTTTTTTGTCTTCTGATTGGCCGGAAGATTTCCGCCACTGTTGCGTGCCCGATACTCTGCGCGTGCGGCCTTCATTTTGTTGCAGTCGAAGATTCGGTGGCCCGGCACCCCGCAAAAATCACACGTGTAGTTGGTGTTTTTCGGACGTGGCCGCCCCTCGAATCTGTCGACTTCCATCGGGTCGGCGAACGTGGGGTGAGCCGAGCGGTCGCCCTGTCGCGTACTGCCGACGTGCGTCCGTCGTGTTCCGGCGTTGACCATGTCGAAGCGCTCCGCGGCCGAAACGACGTCACTGTAGCTCGCGTAGTTTGACGCTGCCACCTGTCGTTTGACTTCGGTCTTCAGCCCTGCGAGGTACGATTGCACTTTTTCCCCTTCGGTCAGGTCGGGAATGCGGTTATAAAATTCTTCCATCTGCTGCGTGTACTGTGATACACTCCCGAACTGTCGGTGTCGATGAATTTTTTCGCGGGCAAGAAAACTTGAATTTATCGGTTCGAAGCGTTTCAGCAGGTCGGCGCGGAACTGCTGCCACGTGGCTTCACCGTGGATGAAAGTACTGTTGCCGCCAATCCACTCGAGTGCCGGCCCTCGCATTAGTGTCGCCGCGAGTCGTACGCGTTGACCGTCCCAGACTGGCGAGCTCCATCCGACGGCTGCGAAGTAGATTTCCATCCCGGCGATCCATCTGCGGGCGTCGGAGTTTCGATCGCTCGGATCGAACGGCTCAGGTGGGCGCGGTTTCGGAGCCTCGAGAAACTGCTGCGACTGCTGCGTCGTCGCCGTTGTCGTCTCGTGCTGCGCTCCGGCGAGTCGAGTTACTCGCTCGAACTGGTTTCGCCACGCTTCGCGATCCGCTCGCATTTCCTCCTGAAGGGCTGCGATGCGCGCGAAGAGCTGCTGGGTAACCTCGGCGTTGTCGAAGGTTGCCATCCTGTTCAAAACACGCACGGAGGGGGTAATTCGAAAATCGCGGAGCTGGTGCTTACCAGAATCGGCGTCGAATTAGTCGCCCCCGGCGGTTTTTCGAGGCAAGATCCCCGCTGCTGCTGCTTAGCTGAGCGCGGCCGAGTGAGAAAAAGCTCTGATTACCAAGTGTCACAGGATCGAATGTGTCGAGGAAAGGTTGCACTATCGATCGGTACAAGGCGCTTTTATACTTCCAGAATACATCAGGTAACCAGGTTTATCTTATCCTAAGGGAATAGACCCTTCTAGAAGATAGAATCACCCTGCGTATAGCCACGCGAGGCTATTGGCTTTAAGAGATTACGGCAGGATTACGCTAGATAGCGTGTCTAGAACATTCCATGCCTGGTCGGTGATATAATTATAATAGGGGAAGAAACCAAAGGATAATGGAAAATGGGGAATATGAGGCAAAAGGAGATGAGATAAAAAGAGGAATGAAATGAAGATGAAATATGGAAAAGGCCAAGTGGTGTAACGGTGTCGTACTCTCACAGCGGATCACCTTCACCTTGTGTCCGCATTCCCTCTGAGCTCTAGGCATCCACTCCTTAAGGACAGCCGCTGCCACCTCCCCCTTGCTCTTCAAAGGGTAAACCCACACTGCCCGAGTGTGGTCATCTACAATTGTCAAGAAATAGCGGCTGCCTGAGAGGGAAGGGGCTCTTGTGGGCCCCACCACATCCATGTGCACAAGTGCAAGTGGGGTCTTGGCTGGTCCTGTAGTGCTATTGAAGGGGAACTTGGAGAACTTGGTCTCCAAGCATGTAGGGAAGCTCCCAATCTCCTTCACTCCCCCTTTCATCTCCAAGCCCTTCAGGCTCCCATCCTTCACCAACTTTTGCAGCATAGGGAAGTTCACATGACACAGCCTCTCATGCCATGTCTCCCAATCGGCCTCTCCACTCTTTGATGAAGCCTTAGCCCATGCCGCACTCGCATCCACACCAGCAAGCACCTCACCATGTGTCTGCTGCTGCTGCACTTTCTTGACTGCTTCCAGGACCCCATCAGTTGGTGCAGTTGCATCTCCTCCTGCTCTTGCCTTTGCCGCTGCTGCCGTTGCTGCTGTTGGAGTCTTCCCATTCCAAGGGATGATGGGCAGCTGCCACAGGTCCTTGATGCAGCTGGTCTCCTCTTCCAGACTCCACAGCACCTTCTTCCCAAGCTTAGCACGGCAGCTGGTTGGTCCAAAGGTCACTTCGGCCTTGCTCTTCTGCAGTCGTCGCACAGAGAGAAGGTTAGCAGACAAGCCTTCAACCAGCAGAACATTCCCAAGCCCCACAAGCTCCCCATTAGCTCCCTTAACCTTGGCATTTCCAACACCAATGACAGGGAGCAAAGCACCTGACGCTGCTGCCACATACTTGATCTTCCCAGGGGGTTTTACCTCATCAAGCAAATCTGCCCGTGGGGTCATGTGACTGGTGCAACCCGAATCAATCACCCAGTGCGTGAGAGGGTGCATTACAACCTTTCCCACAGATCCCACATCACCCTCATACCCATGCACATCTTCAACCATAAGAAACAAACCAGGATAGGCATTACCTTGTGCACCTTCACCTTGTGCACCTGAGCCTTGCACAGCGCCACCTTGTGCGCGTTCACCACTGGGCGGCTTCATGCCTGGAGGTGCCCATCCCTCCGGCCTGCTGAAGCACTTGAACCAAGGATGCCCAACCTTCTTGCAGTACCAGCAGGTGCCCTCCATTCTGGTACTCCCCCTGCCACTGGAGCTTCCATGCCCCTCATTATAGTCACCTCGGCCTCTACCTCTGCCAAAGCTCCTCCCACGGCCTCGGCCTCTCCAACCCCCTCTTCCTTTGCCGCGCCCTGCAGCTCCATACCCCTCAGCAGTCTTCGTGGCAGCACCGCCTCCCACATGGCGTCTACGGAAGTCCTCCTGCAGAATCTGCTGCCTTAGCCACTCAGGTGTCCATTGATCTTGCTGAGAGTTGAGGGTGGGGATGAGGTTGTCCCAAGAGTTGTCCAACACCGAGATGATCCTGGTGCACTGCTGCAGCTGAGATACACTGCTGCCCGCAGCTGCCATCCTTGCATAGGTGTCCTTGATCTTGTCAAGGACCGGCTTCACATCGTCCCCTGGTCGCATGGAGATGGCAGCAAGTTCCTTCTCGAGCACGATCACCATTGGGAGAGTGTTGGGCTGAATCACATCACGTAGTAGTTTCCACGCCCTTGGACCCGAATCATCCGCTTCCACAAGATCCTTGATGTGCTCGAACATCTCCTTGTTGACCGATTGAAGGATGAGGTCGAAAAGCACCGCGCTTTTCTCAATCCACCGTTCGCGTGCTTCGCCTTCCTCCGGCATCTTCTCCTCCCCAACAGCAATCTTCAGGAGCTTGTAGCGTTTGAAGGCACTCCTCATCCGCCCGCTCCATTCCTCATAGTTGGAGCCATCCAGAGCGTCAACTTTTGATGGCGGCGGCTCACTTGGCTTCTCAGGTACAGCTCCTCTTCCATTAGCATCTCCTCCTGTCTCATTCATCTTCTCCTTGAGAAATGACGAATTTCAGCTCCCCTTTGCTGTCCACACTCAGCTCCCTCGATATTTTCACAAGTGTCGGCGTCCACGAAATTTCGGCAGAGTTTCCCCTTAGCGGAAGACACATCCAACCTTTAGAACACCACTTAGGCACACCCACAGGCCATGGTGGGTCTAGAAGGGTTTTCAAACTTTTGTAGACTCCTCTCAATGTCCTTAATATCGCTCTGATACCACTTGTTAGGATTAAGGACGGAGTCTAGGTGAACTTAGGAGCTAGAATTACTCAAAATATAAATCCGAAATTCTGGACAGAAAAGTCGTCTTCACAAGAAACGACGTCGACGAACAACTAGCCGTTGGAATGTCGCGAAACTTGGATATGTTGTAGCTCTTAATCTTAGCTACCGTTCCCAATTTGAATCATGTTGATTGATGAAGTATTCGCGACGCTATGGCTTTTGACGCACTAGGGGGTAAGCTGTAGGAGGAGAACTTAACTCAATCTCAAAAGGTTCAATCAAAGTTCAAGAATCTCACAAGGAATTAGAAGGAGCAAGAGAAAGGTTGGGATAGAAAGAGAGGGATGAGAGGGAAGGTCCCAAGAGAGTCCCCAACCAAGGAAACCCCATAAGCACAAAGATTCCCTCCCTATAGGAACCTCAACTTTGACCTTTGTCCCTTCCCAACCAATCCATCCAAGTTGGCCACCCTTGCCAACCTAGCTTGGTTGTTCCCAACCAATTTGCAGCTGTTACAGTAGAGTGACAAATTTCCCCAACCCCAAAGGTCCCAACTCCATATAGAGTCACCCCACAACTTCACTTTGTAACCGCCGCAATTGTAACGCAAGCTCATGAACTTTGAATCTTCATAGCTTTCGCGTTCTTGCTCCGAGTGAAGCGATTCTTGTTGCGTCGGAAAGATCTTCTCAAGATCTATCATCACAAATACCTGCTCAAACAAAAATAACGCAAAAACACATTCCCAAACTCCAGAACACACCACACAAATTCTTTCACACGTTCAAACCACACATGCGAATTGAAACAAGAGATGGGAGGCAGACAGAATGTGATAGCATATGATGACATCACACAACAAAAACCTAGAACTATGAGAATCCGGCTTTAACATAAAACTAGAGAAACTCATCTCCGATGTGGCATAGTTTGCGAGGCCGAAGTCTAGCAATGCTCAACACATAATCCGGGCACGAATCAAGACTGTGACGTGGTGCCAACCTAGCAAAGCCAACGTAACAACAACTTATTGATAATAGGATCCTGAAACTGTGGTATGACACTAGGGCAAGGCACCCGTTTCCACCCACTGTGTGTATGGGGCCAAAGAAGAGCTTGATTGTAAATGAGCATAAATCATGTTCATCTTCACCCAAGAAACTGCACAAATGAGGCAGTTCTATGGCCATTCGGCAAGCAAAAAAGTGGTGGGCAGCACTGGGGTGGGTGCATATCAGGCTAACAAACAAAAGCCACACCACCACACCAAAGCTTTGAACAAGCTGCACTCGTATGCTCTTGTTGCCCTTCTCCATCATGATCCTGTAGATGCCATCTTCATTTAGCTCCACTTATAGCCCATCCATGAAGAACCAACAATGCACCCAGGACCACGACCCAGTTTTTAGATCACATGTGATTTCGATAACTGTTGTAACCCCTGTTCTGCATCACCATTGTCATGTCCATGCTTGTCACCTTTGTGGCTATGCTCGACACTGCGCGCATTCGTTGTATCGCTACTAGTACCAGATAAATTCCACCTCTGTATGGCGGAAAAGAAGGACACTATTTGCTGTGCAATGCAAATCCAGAAGGATCACAATCCCTGTAAGGAATGGATGGTAGGGGAAGGTGGGAAGGGAGGAGATGTGGCGACAAACACGGACCGCATGATGAACTCCTATCAAGACGCCACCTCTTAGGCATGGTGGCACAACAAAATGGACAAACATTATAAACAGTATGAGATATATCCCAGCCCAACACTGGTAGCAAAAACTCACATTTACCTACTAGAAGGGCATGCTCGTAATAGGACCAAGAGTAGTGGCCACTGCCTCTGCATTTTGCAACTCCTCGATCGACTCCTCCGCTCTAAGTTGCTTGCACATCATATCGGATGTAACTCCAATTGCACAACCAATCAATGGCATGTACATATCCCCTTGCGAGTTCGGCTTGGGAGCGATTCTGCATCTGCACACTACTACGCATATGGGAGAGTGCGCTTGTGTGGCTATCTCGCCCCCATTGGCCTTTTTCCTAAAAGCATGGTAATGACATCAGGCCCACAGTGTGATTGGCTGAATAGGGAGGAGGAGAATGCTTTGTGCGGGTACTCGGCTTCTGAGGGGATAGCGTACAAGGTATGCTATATGCAATATTGCACTTCCTCTTGAACACACTACTAACTTGCAAAATACTGTAGTAGATGCCTTTAAGACGGCGCCACTCAATACACCCGCAACTACGACACTCTTCTCCCTTCCATCTGTGCTATGTGCCCAACTCGTCAACGATGGTACTTGGGGGTGCCAAGGCACCCCAGTCACGGGAGTGGTTGATGCCGACATCTGGCCCGTTGCAATAAGAGGCAACACTGCCCCGTACCCCTCCATCTTGTGCAAGATGTTGGCCGCCAGATTGATGGCCAAACAACCTACCAATGGCCAAGCCATCGCTGTGTCGGTAGGCCTGACACATCCAATGCCTACATACACGAGACACATCGCTCGTCACCACGTCAGTGCCTAGGTTGCTGCTTCCCTGGCCATGCCAAAGCTGCCCCAAGGCATCAACACCATCCCCAGCACCTCCACCGCCTCCGTCACCCGAGGTCTCGGTTGCCAGGCCACCATCTATCTTGCCCTGCTCATCTACTCTCACACACTCTTTAGTTGAAGAATATATATGCCTTCGCAACTACCCGTTAGGGCATCACCAAAGGATGTCTGACCTTTGGTGGGGAGGAATACCACATAGGCATGGTACTTGGCGTTTGAAGAGGCTAAGTATGAACGTATACCACACTCTACCACGCGAAGTACATGAACTGATACGCCACAATCGTTATTATAATCACTATACCACTCAGACTGTCTTAACTTTCAGAAGTTTGAAACCGTAGGTACCACACACTAATACCATGGACCCCAAGAGTTTTGTTTTCTGTGGCCTAGCACAGTTTAGCATAGAAGCTTCATCTTAGATAAACCCGAATGCATCCCATTTTCTGCATTTTGATGTGGCATGACATACCATCCAGATCCATATGTGGTTACAGGCATTACTTTTTTATCTCATAACCATTACGTACAAAGGGTTTTGGTGGAATATGCAAGGATAAAACTACAACAGGAATGCTTTTAACCAAATAACCACAAGACCATCGTAATTCATGCTATGCATACCGTAATCCCCCGAGTATAGGCGCATCCCTTTATTTGGCCCAGTATACTTATGGAGTGCAAGTGCGTTTATAACCGCTATTTCATTATAAGTGCACCCATATTTTTCAAAATGTATTTCTTACAGGCGCATCACATTTTTTTTCAAAACCTATGTGAAACGAGGGATTTCTATATCGAAGTTTCTGCTGTACCCCTCCCGAGCGCCTCCCGAACCAGAAACGCTATTATCGCTCACTACGTTGGCTCTGATTGGCTCGCGAAGTAAGCCATCCCTACATGGATAGGTTGGTGAAAGCTTTGTCAACCAATTTCTTGCGTTTTGTCAACATGTCGCCCTCTGGAAAGAGACGCGCTAGAACCAAAATTTTAAGAGCTACATTTTCACATGCTAAAAAATGTTTTCCATCAAATCCCTTTAATAAGCCCATGAGCTTAAAAATATATATTCCATTATAAGTCCCTATGCGCATGTATCCGGATGACTACGGTATATGAAATATTTTCACCACTCGGAGTGTCTAGTTTACGTAAATCTTATATTGTTGAAGTATGCTCGGCAGAGTTTACTTATGCATTCCTGATATTGCACTTAGAGTATACTAATAGCGCAATACCTCATATGGAAGGACGCGCATGATGACGTCAGCAGTAGCGAGTCAACGCATGAAAAGTAGGTTCGCACATAAAGTCACCCGAAGGGTCGCGCCACTCTCAGTCACACGAACAGTCACTAGTCATGTCACGCGAATGGTCAATAGTAACACAATTTTTTTCCCGTCCTGTTACAAGGTTTTCGACTTCTGCTTCAACCGTTTCTTGCTTGGCGTGATTTTGATACAACCGAAAAGCGGGGTTGAAATTTACTCCTCGGCACTCGATGCGGACATTTCATACCGGCCGACAGACTAGATCTATTTTCGACCGTCACTCGGTGTGCACATCATCACGTGCAACAGCTGCTAGTCTAGGAGTTAGTCCTGAAGCGAACATACGACCGCATCGCCATGAAGCCGGTAAATGACAAGAAGCGCGCGCGAATCATAAGCATGTTGCGTGCGGGGCATTCGACTAGGAAAATAGCCAAAGTTCTTGGCATAGGCAAGAGAACTGTGCACGATTACGGTCTGAAAGTGGCTGCCGAGACTAGTCGCGAGGAGGTGTGACCTACGATGCCAACGGCCGGCCGCCCCCGCTTAATCACAACCCGACTCCAGCGCGGAATAATACGAGCGATTACAAGCGGCGAGGCGAAAAGCAGTGTAGACGCGGCAAAGATGTTGTTGGAGAAGCATGATCTGGCCGTAGGCGCGAAGACCGTGAGGAACTCGTTACGATCCGCGGGCTTGATCGCCATGCAGCAGCCCAAGAAACCCAGGCTCTCATCGAAAAACATACGAGATCGTCTCGATTTCGCGAGGTCGCATGCAGACTGGACGCTGGAGGACTGGAAGCGGGTGATTTGGTCTGACGAGACGAAGATCAACCGCTTCTGCTCTGACGGACGTGCGTACGCCTGGATTCGAGAGGGCACCAGCCTTCGGAGCCATCAAGTCCAACAGACAGTTAAGCATGGGGGCGGTTCTGTGATGGTGTGGGGTTGCATGACGTATGAGGGGGCAGGGTTCATGTGCAAGATAGATGGCAGGATGGATGGGCCGCTGTATCGCAGCATCTTGCAAGATGAGCTCAAACAGACGATCGATTTTTTCAAGCTCCCCCCCTCAGAGGTCATTTTCCAGCATGACAATGATCCCAAGCACATGTCTCGTCTAGTCCAAGACTGGCTTGCGGAGCAGGAGTACGCGGTGTTGGAATGGCCATCATCCTCCCCGGACCTTAACCCGATTGAGCACCTGTGGGCACACTTGAAAAGGCAGCTGGGGAAGTACGAAAAGCCGCCAGGTGGAATGCTGGAGCTGTGGGAGAGGGTGCAGGAGGAATGGGACAAGATACCGGCGGAGGTGTGTGCAAATCTTATCGACAGCATGCCGAGGAGGATCAAGGCAGTGATTCGCGCAAAGGGACGATGGACTAGGTACTAGTTTTCTAAGAATCTAGTTTGCTGCCTGTCTTCGGTACAAATTGTCCGGATGTTCTCTTATGATATGCTTACCTGTTTAGGGACCATGTGTGGTACTAGTCTGCTGTTTGTCGACTTGAATGAGCGCTCTAACTGAACTTCTCAATGTGTATGCACACCATACATTAAGGCTTAATGTTTACGCCACTGCACTCATTAAAATGCAAAAAAAGACTGAACATGTGGACAATTGTTTCCGCCACTATACTTGTACATGCGTTCAAAGGCACATAGGACTACAACAAAAATCTGGCACAAGCGGTTTGGTCATACCTCGCAAGAAGCTCTTAGCAATTTGATTAAAGCCTCAGCTTTTGACAGGACGCTCTCCTTTTAACCAACGACCAAGAGCTTCGACCTAGCAGTCGTCAACTACCCTGCACCATCTGCCCCTGAGCTCACCTTAGTCACACTCTGTTCTCGTCGCACTTTCCAAGTGCTACTAAGTACTCTCCTATGGATGTTTTCAGTAAAATACTCTTTATACCGCAGGAAGCAGAGGATATCAGTGGCAACGACTACCGCTATATAATTACCTTCATCGATGGTGCTACTCGATACATCTGGCA